ATTACACGTGCTAGTAAAAGAAACAGATTTGATACGTTATATGTGTATGAGTTTTGCTCCGTCATACAAAATATTGAATTGTTACTTTAGGAAATGTCACGAATATACTGATTTGTTTACACAAAATTTCGTGTGCTTTTTAGCATTCTAATTATAGAGCAACGAAATTGAGAAAAGAACTGTTAAGAACTTACTTGCTTTTCTTTCATTATGCGTATTTTCTTTCTCACTGAATCTTGATCAGTTGAACTTGAGATTTTACGTTTCTCTGATGACATTGCTTCGGATATTCTCAGACCAGATGAAGAAGCTATCAGACTAATGCGTGTAGAGATGCGGCAACTGGTACCTCTTTGATTTCCTTTTACCAAAAATCAAGTTTTCAAGCTACGGTGAATATAACGTCAAGATGTGCAACAAACAATGCGAATTAACAAATAATCTCGACCACAGGTTACTTCTGAGATGCCAAATTTGAGCCCTGACTCACCTGCAATAAGATATGTGGAGAGGTAGCGAAAACCGGCCTCGATAGCATGCGATAACACGTGGAGGGAATGGATCACGTGCCGCACACATTTGCGTGCCGTGTATGTACAACGTATATGAGCGCTGAGAGCGCGACAGTACACTGCTCGCACTTGTGTACAGCACGTGGGCCATCCTCTCCACATTCCCTTCACGTGCTACGGTTTCTTACATTACTGTATAGAGAGGACATGTATACTAATAAATAAAGAAAGATTCACGTACATGTATCAGCCGATAGAAAAATAAACAAATAACGAAATATATAAGTTTATGGATTTTGTTATCTACATATATATTAAGGAATAACTATGAATTTGTTTCCGTTTCAATTTAATCGTATTTTATTGAATCCAAATTAATGACAATATCGAAAACATATAATTGCGATAAGCATTGAAGGCATAAAAATCAAGTTTAAATTTCATTAATATGAATAATAACTCGCTCGTTGAAAAGGTAGATGCTAAAGATTTTGACTTTTGATACTGTAATACGCACAGAATAATCTACAGAACAATTGGAAAATTTAATACGATATAGAACTGATAAAATTAAATATAGATAACATAGGATTATAAGGATTGTTATTTTCCATTTCCTTTTGTTCTAGATCAACCTGTAGACTTGAGATATTGCGTAAAGTCTTATACCTACATCTAAACTCAAATCACAAATTATTCTCAATTTGTATTAATACTCATTTGTATATAAATTCTTACATATATAAAAATTAAAAGTTTTGTGGAAAAGAAGAAAGCACGTTCACTAATTAAATAAGAAAAATATCTTTATCATGTTCTATGAATGTTATTATATAAATCAAATATTAGCCAATGCAAAAAATCTCTTATCTGCCAGGTGGTGGCGAAAAGAATTGATGAGTGCTGATTTTTTCAAGTGGTTTACTTTTCTCAATCAATACCATTATCTTATTTAAATCTTTTTGCGGTAGGCTTTGAAATTCTTTAGTGTTCGTAATTTCTTTTATGTGCAATTTAATAAAACTTATCAAATGTGTTTCCAAAAATTTGGCATTCAACGATAACGCAAGCTGTATAAGATTGATTCTTCATCTTTAAACCGAAACTCATTCAAGGTCAAGTCTTCAATATGTTTGCCTTAAGGTGCTTTTTCACGTTGACGCTCGACCGGCTCGACGTTCATTTTCAGTGAGCAAAACTCTTCAGAAATAATACTTTATATTTATATATATATATCCGTAAAATATTACTACTTGAAGATATTACTTAAAAATAATTAATATTTTACGTATTTTGAAGTTTATTTTTGAGTATACTGGGACGATCAACGATTCAGCGTTGGATGTTGAATAATTTCAACTTTATGTCAAAGTGAAACCACATGACTCTAGAAATAATAATTTTTATTTATTTATATTACATAAATAAATTTATATATATACATATATAAATAAAAAATATTATTTTTGAAGATTTTTTCTCGTTAAAAATGAGCGTGAAGCATCAACGTGAAATGGCACCTTAAGGTAAATATTCTTAAACTACTGTTGTGGGCGCACAATTTTTTTGATACATTTTTTTCTACCATAAAATTGATTTATTTTTAAACCGAAACTCATCAAAAGTCAAGTCTTCAAAATATGTCACGTCTCCTGAAATTTCCGTTGAAGATAGTGGTGGATTCATACGTATATAGTTCTATTTATCAGATTACAAAGAAATTCGAACTTGCAACGTATTACAAGCGCATCTCTATGATCTAACAACGGAAGCTCCTCTCCAAAGATTTTAATTAACAATGTGTTATTCGATATAGGATCTGAAATGGATTTCGATGATACACATTTTCTAGACGGTAGCATTATAGTATAGTGGGTAGTGGTACACAAAGCGTTAAATGTATTAGCAAGTATATAAAAGGATGTTGTATTAGTTGACTGACATTGTTTTGAAACTTTCATTTGAATCATATATTGATTTTCTGGAAACGGTGAAGACGTTATCGTCAGTTATCGTGTTCATAGTATTATTACAATGCCATAAAAATTGATTAATTTTCCATGTATGGTTAAGTATACTCGACTTAATCTGTGTTTCAGAATAGCTCGTGATAGATGGTGAAGATGACAAAGATACTGTCTGCTGATTTTCCGGGATATTCTCTGTAGAGATATTCTCAATTTCTCTTTCGTCAGAAGTCTGTGAATAATTAATTTACTTATGAATATAAGGATCAACATCGAAATGTCATAAAAGTTTCTGTGCTTTTAAATAAAATAGATTAAATTTCAATCAAATATCCTAACATGTAATAATAATGTTTAAATGTATAGATGAGAGCCACTTGAAATCGGACTTTTAACTAAAAATACATACAGATTTTTTAGACACTCTACATTTAATATATCTTTTTTTAAATAAAAATAACACTTTATATTAAACAATCAGAAAAAGTTGAATAAATAGCCAAATTGTAAGAGAAAATATTATAAATACGGTTATTTTCGTTGATCACAATTGATTTCATAAAAAAAAGTTTTGTCATAAATAAAAGTTTTGTCATAAATTTGCGTCAAATTTCACGAATTATTTGTGAACTACTTTCTTGTCTAACAATAAGTCTAAATACTTAAATCTATAATTCCCGTTAAATTTAAGAAAAAACTTGTTTATAATCCTATGCATTTTGATGTATATTGTATAAATCTAATTTTTTAAATATTTTTTTATCTTATATATCCTAAATAGAATTCTATCTTGAATTCTGATAAAAGTTATGCATTCATCTGAAGCAGACTTTTTGCATTAAAAACTATTAAAAACTACTTGAAGGTTGAGAGGCACTTTAAATTTATTCTTTGCAGTTGCACTGCGTTACATTTTCTATTTAAAATGAAATAGATATATAATTATGCTGTAGAGAAAAAAGAAAAAAGAAAGTCAGCTATAAAAAATATATTTTTTTTACTGTTAAATTTTAAATATTGTTTCTCGCGTACACTTGACGCCTTTCCTTTATTTTTTCGAAAAATAATTTTATAAATCTTATGTACGTACATATTGTACATATAAGCATGCTTTTATAGGCAATATAAACAAAACATTTTATCTGTTTTATATACATATGCATCGCGCAATGTATAGATCCACGACGAAGTGCCTGCCGCATGAGATCGCGAGAGCACTTGCGATTAATCATTTACATTCAGCGAATTAATAAGGAATAAGAGACAAAGGGGAAATGTTTGCTTGCAGACTTCTTGTACCATAGACCAGAATCTAGCACGTCTACAGAACCCTCACCGATTTTTGAGAGAAAATCGTTTCCTGGAAGGGGAAGACCCAAGTAAGCCTATCGCCGGTTGATTATTTAATTTCTTCAAATTCTCCCACGATACTTCCGGATCTCTAAGCTAATCGGTCGTTTTTTATATTTAACACATTATTCATGACTACCAAAATTCGACGTTAGATCTAAATTTAAAATACATAATACTTAAACTAATTATTGATTATCCAAATTACTTAAAAGCCGATAGTTAAATATATATTATCTAAACACATTTCCCAATCAATTTAGAGAAAAGGCTGTTTTACTAGATCAGGACTAGATCTTTGTTGCCTATAAATAATATTGATAATATAATTTAATTATGTGATATAGTATACTGTTCTATAACTTTTGGTTGAGACTACGTTTCAAGTTTCAAGTAACGCCCGAAAGTAACGGCGCGTGGTTTGTTATTGGGGTGATAAATTACATAAATTTACGCAAATAATATTATTAGGCAACCAACATCCAATTTTGACCATATAAAACGGCCTTTTCTCTAAATTAATTGTATTATCATATCGGTATTATCATATGTTTGACATTTCCTAAATTCTAAACTAAATATGTTCTATAGCTTGCAAGGTAATGAGATAAAGGAAGATCCGTTTGCACTCCAGGATGTTACAGCTGGCGCGTTATATACCAGCGAGCGGGCCTGGCCATCCCAAGCACCAGTCGGGCAATCCCTGTGCCAATCGGGACCATCAGGAGCGTGACGGATCAGGAAACCTGTTCGTCCCCAAGCTGGACCCACCCTCGGGGTTTTCCGACGCGTTTGAGCTAAGCGAGGCCGAGTGCGACTTCGATCGCGATCACAACAGTCAACGAAACGTCCGTGACTTCGTAATCGCGGTGTAAATAGCGTGTAAAAGCCTCCGACGCGTACGCGGGAACCTCTCGCCGTAAGGTAAAAGAGAAGAGAGGAGAGTTAAAAAAAAGTAAATAGCGAGAGAATAAAGAGAAGAGTATAAAAGTAGACGAAAAAAATCGCGCGAGAATTTATGTAAGCCGCGGTCCGTCGTTTCGTTAATGCGAATTGGCGCCTCGCGTCCGATCGCCAGCCACTCAAGTGATATTATAATACCACATGCTCTCTCTCTCCTTCATCCTACGCCCCGGCCTACGTCGACGAGAACGCGTCCGTCAACTCGACCACCGTGCTCCGGAAACTGCCACCGGCCGTTTCCCGGCGAGATCGGTCCGACACGTCAAGATATATTAGGGCTAAAAACGATTTAGGCGAACGATCGCAAACGCGCCGCGATTGATCGTATAAACAAAGTTAAGTTTAACGAGAGACAGAGAATCTATGAATCAGAGAATAAGCTGCCGTTTATTGGTTTCTCTCCGGATGGAACCGCCAAGTTTTACGCATCGCGTCGAGCTCTACGTTGTTGTCTGTTCTATAATCGTGGCGGAAAAAAAGCAAGTGGAACGCCGGACGAGCGTTTCGACGACGACGATCCGTATAAACTGCCGCGTTTTATTCCACACGCTCCGTGTAATAATCCTAGTTAGTTAAATTAGCGGTGCTATATACGCGCGATCCGCATCCACCTCGGATTTCTTCCTTCCACGCGACGATCTCTGTACGCGGGTATATCTGCCTCTGAAAGCACGTGAACCGCACGTACGCTTTCCCCTCTCCCTCCCCCGCATACAGTCTTCTAATATTCTAATTGTTACGATGAAAAATAACGCGCGACGACTGCAATTAAACTGTAAAAGTCTAACAGTAACTGCCATCTTACTCTATTACGAAGCGACCAACGCGACCGCGAAGAAACTTAATTACGATCGATCGAAACCGCCCCGCGAATCTCTCTCTCCCTCTTGGCGCGAGACACCTGCACATGCATATCGAAGCGAGCAATATGCGAACCTCCGAAAATTTTCCCCTTGTCTTCCAGTCATTCTCATTGATCGAGCTTTCATCGCGCTATAATCGAAACGCTACCATCTTCCGCTTCTCCACAAAGAACGTTACCGTCTAATTAAAGAGAAATTATAACGCGACCATTCGTCGTTGCCGTCAGTGTCGTTTTAACTTATCCTCGAGAGACTGAAAGAAGCATCGTAGATTTAGGTTTACACTCGACGTCTGTCGCAAGGCAAGCTCATATATAAGTCTCTGCGGTTCGTGCGAGAAAATTTAACGACGTCAGTGAAGAAAGAACACCGTCGGAAAGGAACGTCTAATGCGAGCAGATGCCGAGCGTAAATCTAGTTTTAGTAGACGAATTACCACGTAGCGTAAACGTAACGGCCGAACGTAATGTCTGTAAGCTGTCTATTACTACTGTACCCGTTGTACACCTCGCTTATCACAAACTGCCGCGTACATCACCCGCCATCCGAGACCCAGCCCCACCCAGCCCCCCCTTCCCGACAGATGAAAGAAGAAGAGAGTAGGACGAGATAGAAGAAAACGTAAAGGCGATGCCGATCGACGGACCCCGAAGACGATGGCGATGATGATGATGACCTGAGAAATTATTGAGATACACGAGAAGAGTACTGTTTCGCGAATGTCATCGCAACCTTGATAACCACGTGTTGCCATATCGTGCCGAAACGTCACCCGTTGGCTGGTTGGGTTACCGTTCACACTCGGTCGGGTGACGATGATTTTTCGGTCGGCCAGTTTAAATTCCCCCGTGCCCCCCCGTCTCCCCCAATGTGCCGCCCCTGTTATTTCAGCCCTCGAGTCCTTCGCGCGAGGTGGAGGAAAGCGAAAAAGGAGTCCCCCTGTTGATATATCGTCTATCTTTACGACACACGAAATAATTTACCACGAAATTCGTACTATTGTGTTTTAGACGACTTTAGATTGTTTATATTCTATTTACTTTGTAAAATATACTAATTCCATATTGGAAACGTGCCTGTGTGTTTCTTATTACCCGTCCGTCCATCTCCTGTCCGCTAAAACCTATAATGGCAAATCTGTTTTGCAGAAATGCACAAGTTGATTGACGCAAGAGGTGCAATACAACTTTTATGAGACAGCGTGGAAAGAACTTTTTTTCCTTCACAAAAAATATTGATTTTATCGTTGTTCTCTCTCCGCGATGCTGATTGGAGCTTTTGCTATATGTTGTGCTTATTTCGTACCATTATCGCACGCAAATTAGATATTTTAATAGCTTAAATGTTAACAGGATTAATTTTATTTATTACGCTTGAAGTTATGATTTATTTCACCTTGCTCCTGATTAATATTCCTAATTATATTGCAATACTTTGTCAATTTTCCAGATTTTTGATTTTCACGAAAGCCGGATTTGAAAGCCCGAATTCTTAGAAATTCGAGGAATTCTTGGGAATGTAAAATATTCTTGACAATTGAGAAAATTCTTGGAAACTGACAAAATTCTTTATGTTGATAAAATTCTTAAATTTGATAAATTCTTTATGTTGATAAAATTCTTAAATTTTCGGCAACTGACCAATCGCATTGGTCAATTGCCGAATTGCTTAAATATGATTGATCAATCCTTTTTCTCCATCCGAGATCTCGAAGCGATTTCTAATATCGTTCGAACACAAAGCTTTGGAATGCTTCACTTGTTTTTCTGCCCTTCTGCCCCCACCTTCTTATAAGCACAAGGACATACACGCACATTTGTATATAAAGGAACGCTCAGCAATTTGACTGCCTGTTCTTTGTCTGTACGTATCGGTTGTGGATTGACTCGCAGTTCTAACGGTCCTAAAACAATTTTGACTTGTGTAGTTTCAGTCATCAAGAAATTCAAGAAACATGTATCGGCTCTTTATGACGATGACGGTAATCACGGTAATCAACTTCGCGTCAATCAACGCGGAGTTGATTAGGTAAGTACATGTTATATACAAACGATTCACATTTATATCGACACGATAAATTATAATACCGTATAAAGATCGCGCTTCCAACTACTTGGAATCGTCGCAGAATTCGCGATAAATAATTATCAAATCAATTTCAAATACCATAATTGTATCAAATCTGTGAGAAAAACGCATTTTGAAAGTTGGAATAAAGTGAGCAAACTAATTACAAGAGATCCTTTGAGGATTCCTTCGAAAATCTTATTTTAAGTGAGATTAGCGTCGTGTGATATCCTCTTTTCATGATGACACTACAATCTCACTTAAAATACCTAATTACATTTTAATGCGTAAATATATGCAGGTAGCATTTATTTCTTAATGCCAAAATGTTGAGGCTTTAATAGCTTTTAAATAAGAATTGCTTGAAAATGATCAAATAAATTGTTTGAAATTCGTATTTATGTTGTACGATATATGTACATACATTCGCGTTTATACGATACGCATATAATATAACGGAATTTTTTTTATGTTGTTTTAAGAATTCCGTTATACAAGACATTCACCGATGAAAAATTTTTGACGGAAACTATGGCACGACTCCGTTCTGGTACGGCAAACGTATCTCTGATTGATTATGACAATTTACAATATTATGGTACTATCGAGATTGGAACTCCACCGCAGACATTTAAAATACTTTTCGACACTGGTTCCTCCGATCTCTGGGTACCATCCAAAAACTGCAACGTCAGGCAACCTGCTTGCTGTAAGTATATCATAACATCGCTACCGCCCCGATATTCTATTATTTTTATATGTACATTTGTATTTAAAAAATTAATGTTTCAAGTATTGAAATAATCTTAATTATTTTTTTCTCGTTTAATGATTGATATCAAATAAAAATATAAGATAAGAATAATGCTGTAGAATTGTATCTATTCCATTTACATTTCAAGTAAAGTTATAAAACCTTTAAAGCAACCGTTTCAAAGATTCGAATCAGTGGTAAGGTAAATATTATGTAGCTAAGTTCCATACTTCCATAGTCTCTTATTTACATTATTTATTATCACGCTTACTTTAAAGATACAAATAATTTCTTATACAAAACAGCTCGCATGCTGAAGCAAAAAATATAAACATAAATATATTTGATGATTTAACTAAATATATTTGATGATTTAACTCCTGTTAGTTATATATATTTAGATTAATATAGAGAAATTTATATTTCTAGATTTTTCAATATTAACTGATTTAATTTTATTTACTTCTTTTTGCAGCGAAACATAATAAATATGATAATACACAGTCCACCACATACGTGCCAGAAAAAATTACGTTTGATGTTTCTTACTACGATGCAAAGTGGCAAGATGTCAAATTGTACGGAAACTTATCTAATGATAACGTAATCGTAAGTCATCGTCAAGAAAATGATATATTTAATTATAATCACAGTCATAATCTATGAAAATTTTCTAAAAAGCACATGTTGCTATTATTCTCCGAAAAAGAACGCCCGCAATTATACTTTATTAATAATATTAACGTTTCGTAGATTGGTGGCCTTGGGGTAACATCTCAGATATTCGGCGAAGTGTTTAATTTCTCGGAAGGTTTTTTGCCCTGGGCACAATGCGACGGCGTTTTGGGGATGGGTTATCCCGACTTATCTGAATTTGAAGTGCCTTCTGTCTTCCAAAACATGATTGATAAACATGTGGTGTCCCAACCAATTTTTAGCTTCTATCTAAATCGGTTTGTATCTTTTCGTATGCCTCACGTGTGTTTAATACTATTTTTTTAATTACATACTTTGTCTTTCCATGCAATGTAAAATGCAAATGTATAAACAATGTAAAAAATATACAACCTATACAGAAATCTCACGGTCGTGTTCGGCGGTGAACTGATATTGGGTGGCACCGATCCTTCTCATTACGAGGGCGAGTTTACGTATGTTAATGTTACTAAAAAAAAATACTGGCAAATTACCATGGATAAGTATGTAGTTTTTTTTTCTACATTATACGTATGTCAACCAAGGATTATATGTAAGCTAATTGGTAATGCTATCCCACTGTAGATTTCAAATAAAAAATTACACCTCTTGCTTGGAAGGCTGTAAAGCTATCGTCGACACGGGTTACCCTAGGATAGCTGGACCACCGCAGACTATCGAAGTTATTTACAGAGAAATCGGTGTTGTTAATGATACGGTAATTTATTATCCCTTTCTGCAATGGCAGCTTTTACAATTATCTTAAATAAATTATTGAAATAAATTAATAAATGTTTGATAAGTTACGGATTATTAATATGGATTACTAACATTGACCTTCGTTTAAAGGTGCCATGCGACGATGATTATATTTCTAAATTGCCCGATATCAATTTCGTCATAGGTGGTAAGACGTTTCGACTCATTGGTCAAGATTATATCTTGAAGGTAAAGAATATTATTATATAAAAGTTATTTAAATTGTTTTTAGAATAGAAATATCATGCCATATTTAATGTCTCATAGCTCGGCGCTGATATTGGAGGTAAATGCATTCCCGGCTTCCAAGCTGTTCCTCCGTTTGATGGTATAGAATGGGTTTTGGGCTATGTATTTATTGGTCGGTACTACACCGTATTTGACATGGAGAACGACCGAGTGGGATTCGCTACTGCAAAAAATTAAATCTTGATTGCCTTCTCATGAAGTTATCATTAAATATTAGGAAATCTAAGTGACATTTTACTAAACAAATAAGTCATATTATAGCTTCTTTAGAATATCGACTGACATATGGTCTGTAATTTTATTTGGACTATTATTTATATGGTATATTTTTAAATTAATACGTATATGTGAGAATTTAGAAGATATATATGCAATATTTATTCTACCAACGATATGGTACATCTTGTTCTTTCGACAACTATCGAATTGTTAGATATTGTGAATACAACACTTGTATATAAGTCTATTAAAATGAAGTATATATTTTTAACACTGAATATTGATTTCATATATCGCCCTTTCAATCTCATCTTAATGTATAGTATCCCGAAAAATATTATCTCGTTTAATCTTATAAATTTTCTGCTTACCGAGTACAATATATCATATAACATTCTGCTTACATGTATAAAAGTTATGACATACCGCATTTGTAATCAATATATAACTTTTTACATTTCTTATGCTTACACAAACGTATACACGCATAAATATTTTGCTTATTAATAAACATTATCTAAAATTTTCGACACATAGATACCCAATTGTCGATACGAAAATTATCATGTCGTATGTATTCTAATTAATAAATTGTTATAATATTGCAAAACTGGCTTTAGGTATCTCACTATCGTTAATATTATAAACTTATATTCTGAAATTGTTATTTTTAGAAACTTGCATATTGTATTAACTACTGCTAGTTTTAAATAAAATATGATACACAAAGAAAGATTATCGAGTAATTTTGAATTTTGATACATGATGTGTAACTACGATAATATTTTCTGGCAATACACGTTTGCAAAATTTTATACGATTACAATAAGCCAATGTCTCTACTCTATTAATATTAAAAGAAAATATCACATTATATAAATAATGGTAGCTAAACATCTTGTGTTATGCAATTTACGTTGTATTTTATTATATTTTTACAAGATTCTTTAAAAGAAAGGCTTCAAGTAAATTCTATGTAAAATTGATTTCTTAATTCCAAGTTAACATTTTCGGGATTTTACCGCTTATTTCCAGCTATCTGTGTTTTTTTAAATATTTTTTTTCATCATTTTATTATAATCTGGGATTAGATTGACCAACGATTAATTCCAATATAAAGGATATAGTGACGCAAATGTATCCAGATTAAATTACTGAAAAGAGCTATTGGGCTGTTAGAAACTTAATGTTTATAGAACTTTTAAAACTCTTTATTCGCTTTACCGTCCTTCTTTTCACCTTCTTATAAAGACAAGAACCTAAACACGTACTTGTATATATATTTATTAACATGAAGCTGCAATGATCATACAATGCTATACATCGTTATGAAAAATACAACAATAACATAACATTCTTATATAGGATAACTTCTTTAAAAGAATTATATTCAACAAGGACAGAGCATATGTGTTAAGCTAAAGAGAATATTTATAAAAATGATATCAACGATAAATATACATATAAATCTTAATGCGAGTGAACACAAATATTGAAAATAGAAGTTTAATAAATAATTTCGTAAATATGCCATTATAATGTCACGTAGACCAGTATTCATAGTCGGTTCTTATATTTAACACCATCTTAAGTACAATCTTAAGATGTCATAAACTAATCACAGAGCCGTAGCACTTTAAAACATTACTTAAGACGGTCTCGAAATAAGATCAAACTATGAATACTGGCCGCAGTCGTCATATCACGTGATATCACGTAAGGGGTAAAAGATATTCGCAATATTATATCCATTCACGCAACAAACTCATCGCCATATATGGATTTTTCGAATACTCGTTAAAAATCGGCAAACATTCAAGAAATGCAATATAAATAAGTGCAGGTTTGATCGCCGAAGCATATTCCTAATAAAATCACAATTTTTTTATCGTGGCAGACTGAAATGCCGAATCCGACTGAAACGTAGGTCAAAGTGACTCAGAACGGACGTCTCGCCAAGTTTGCGGAAAATGAATGTATTCTTTCGCAGATTAATAGATCGCAATCCGAAGTACATTATTTCTCTTTCGAGAAAAATCTTATTTCTCCGCTTTCGAGAGCATAACATATATTACATTGGAGAGCGAAGACTTCTTCTTTTGGAAGATGCGTGGCTTTTAAAAATTGTTACTGATAATAATTCCGGAATGCTAAATCGCTTCGTAGGCCACATCAACGCCGATTCTCGTGACCGAGCCGTTCAAAAATTCTTCAAGCTCGTCTCGCTCTCGATCTTCCTTCGTTCGATGCGACGAGCGTTTCTTCTTCTTCTCGGTCTTCTCCGTTTTCTCTTTATCCTTATCCTTGTCTTTTGACTTTTTCTTTTTCCTCTTCTCCTTCTCATCTCCCTGGAATAAAAAATAAGTAATAAATCCATAATTCAAAATCAATCATGATAATTGAAAAGAATACGTTCTCTAGTTCAACTAACAATCTTTTATATTTCACTGTTAAAGACAATTACCTTCTCTTTGTGTTTCTTTTTTTCCTTCATCACCGGACTACTGGCATTGGAGCTCACCTGGCGCATACTAGTGTCATCGAGCAGCTCCAAATGAACATTGGAACTCGTCACGCTAACATCCAGACTCTTATCGCTCAATTCTAGTCTATCCTTCCTCGTACTAGTGCTACTCACATCTTCACCTCCTTCAGGACTTTGCCGCCATTTGGAATCTCGTCGTAACCAGTTATCAAAAGCGTCTGAGTTTATGTCTGATTGCTCATTCGGTTGCTCATATTCATTGGAGATACGCAATTCTTGCTCTATAGAGGAAACAGAGTCGCGTTTCGTGACTTGTATTGGCTTCTCGATATTTATCTCTGGGCCTGATAATGGTTCTAATTTGTGTTTTTGTTTGGACAGCGGATTCTCTGCTAATTTTGGCTGTACAGGAGAAACTACTTCTTCGATGGACGACAAGTCATCCTCATAACCGGCTACCAGAGGATTACCAGTCTCCACATCACTGTGTGAAAAAATCATATTGTAATGTATATTAATACTAGTTATAATTTTGATGATATATAAAATGGAAAATAATTCTTAGTAATTATTGTGTATTGATTGTATTTATAATATACTGAAGAATAGAAAGAATTATATTATTACAAAAACTTTACAACGGATAAAAAATAACCATTGATATGCACGGGGAAAATGAAAGAAGGTAAATAGACGAATTACAGATTTTGTTTTAATAATAATGATAATTTTAAACAGATTTCTTTTAATATTAATAGAAAGGTTTGATAATAATTTAATATATTTAATTATGAAAATAAGTTTGTAAAAAGCAATTTGCTTTGTAATTAGAAGATAGTTTAGAAAGCTGTGCATTTACCTCTCAGATTCTGCACCTTCTTGAGCTACAGGTACAGGATCTGGCTCTGGAGTGAGGGAGTTGGAGCTCATACTGCAGCCTTCCAAAAACGATTTGTCCAGCATTCCATCCGGCACGAAGTCTTCGACACTAGTCAACGGTGCGTTTAAACTAACATTTTTAATATTTGGCAGTTTCCCGTCTGTCTCGTCTTCCTTCTTATGACCGAAGATCTTGGACATAAGTGATGGCCGATTAAGCGAATCTCTTCTCTCGCCGTTGTTATTGGCAGATTCAGCCGGTTTAGCCGCTTCTATTTTAGCAGCGGAATTTTGCGAAATAGATGCTGTCGAAATTTGTGACGTTTTCGTAGAATTAGATACGTTATCTGATGTGCTCGTCGTAGAACTCTCTTTTCTCGGTAACGATTTCATCTCTAAATTTTTCATCGGTATTGGAGTTCCGCCGCCGATCGGACCGGGCATAGAGGCTGATCTTTTGACTTCTCCAACAACATTCGTGTTGGAAGGTGCAAGATGATAGTTGCTCATAGACGACGGAACATTTGAGACTAGATTACTGGCGGACACTGAATCGGCAAGGGCTCTTCTACGATTCACGAGATTGTCCAAGAATTTGTTGTAGTCAGCATCGTCGCTGTCCTGGAAGAGATCGAGCTCTTGGACAGTCAGACGCGTCTCTTCCTCGTTGGTCTCGAGCTGCTTTAGCAATGTCTCGCGTTGCAGCTGCAGAAACGGTAGATTAAAAAATTTGTGCAGCAGTTTTAGGCCGAAGCCATTTCGCATCGATGACTCCGCGTATCTCACCTGTAACAATTCATATAAATTCAGAATTAAGTGAACTGTTTTAGTTGGGATGGATTTGTGAATATTGCTCAATATAAGTTACATGGACCGATAAATTTTTTCAAGGTAAAATGATAAACTCGATAAAATCAAGTTAATAAAATATGATTTTATGAAAATTTTAATTCTCTCTCAATTATATACAGAATCCCTTAGTATTACTAAAACTTGTAAAATACGATATGGTTCTGTTTTAATAACATTTATTTATTAAAATATTGAGAACTGTTAAATTGTGATAAAATGGCAATAATTTCTTAATTTTAAGAATTTTAGAAATTAAGGAATTATGATAATAATTCCAATTAAATTCTTGCTGGACATGCTGATTCGAACTTTTTTTAGTTCACTACTGGAGAAACATTTGCGTGACACACAATAAATCATTATATTAATAAATAAATCAATTACTTGTGCAGTTCTCTCATGGAGCGAATCTATGAAGTACGTCACGTGATCCGCGGTGACGGTTCTGTGATGCGACATGTCGCAGTGGTTGCCGAGGACAATGACGGGTATGTGGCTAGGTATCTTCGGCAGCTCACGCTGTACGTAGTCGAACGTCCAGTTCTTCGTGATGTCCATCACGATAATGACACCATTGGTACCCTTGTAAACGTCGAGAAACTCGGCATCTAGAGCGGGTTCCTCGATCGCGTTTTCCGCGTTAGTCGGAGCGTTATCCATTTTCAGACCCTCCAACTTCCGCCGGCGTCTGCCGCGATCTACAACATCCCATACCTCCACCTTGACCACGTCGTCGGTGGCTTTGTAATTCCACTGTATACTCGCCACCTGTATCTCTTCCGTGGGTATATACTCTTCGATAAACTTTTGCCCCTGCAGTCTATAGAATAAACATGTCTTTCCTACATTCCTGTCTCCCTTTATTATTATTTTCACTAAAAATAATACGTAAAATTTGCATTACAACTGTTCCATCGATCATTTACGTCTAAAGCTGTTCTACATCATCATTCTAGCATCATCTACATAGATGTATGTACTTACTATTATATTGCACGCCTTTGGCAAACTTTCTCTGAAGATTCGTCGGCATGGATTGGTGGGCCGGTCTGGGAGACGCATTGCCGACTCCATCAGACTTTCCGGCTAGTCTTTTAATGGCAGAAAACATCGTGCGATCTTTCCTCAAAGAAGCATCGGTCCAAGAAATTAACTTTGATGCCTAAAAAGGGGAATCAACCACAAACACCTGTAGAAAATATATCAAAATAAATATTTAAAAAATGTAGCAAAAATAACATAAAAATACTTACAAAATAGTAACATAAATATTTTTTTATTGAATAAAAGACATGAAGACTGCACAATTTTCGTTTTTAACGCGATTATTGGAGGACACTTCGTGGTTTGCAACGCGAACTAAAAACATTGCGATAACGATAAAGAACTTGATTGCTCTACTTGACTATTATTACGATTATTACAGCGGCGACGAATTCCGTCCACCTCGTTATCACGAAACATATCGTGTCCCCCCAGAGGGGGATAGGAGGTATGTAAGCATTGGAACAATTAAGGCTCACGCATCCTCGCGTACGAGACCCGACACTCTAACCCAAATCGAATTTTTTTCACGGTATCGTCGGGAAAGTTTAACAAATCGCGTGGCCAGGATCATCCCGAGGATTCGTCAGAAATTCGGGTGAAATCGCACTTACCACATGTGTCGCACGCTCCGAACCCCGTGAACGAAGCCGGATCTCTGGATGCGACTCCGCTCTGAGACAGCTGTCATATACAGCAGCTGTTCCTCTCTCTCTCTTTCTCTTTCTCGACGCCGCAAAGTTGGCAGCGCCAACGATCGCTCTCGACGTGCCCATTCATAAAAAATCGATCGTCGATAAACCCCCCTCGCAGTAACAAAACCGCAGATCTCTCCAAATTAATCTTCGAGTGCAATTTTTCTCTCATCTTCTCTTTACATCGCTAGAGCTATATAATTTTACTTTACATTTATTTACATCATTTCAAACGCAAAGAAAAATGCGAAAAAATCTAGACTAATTAGCGTCTCGAGTTCGATTTTTCGAGAAAAATATAATATCGATCGCTCTATTCTTGTATAGCATTTTTATTTCTCTTTTCTTATATATACCGTCCCAATTTTTTT